ATTGTTAGATGAGATAACAGTCCACAATGTAAATTTGTAAAATTTATAACTGCATATACATTTGACCGCAATATAAATCTGTATAATTTATATCTACATAGACATTTGAATAGTTTTTCCAGTACTTGGTCCACAATAACTTTATCTCTAGACATTTTCCATCTATCTCTTAGACTACTTTGGAGGCCTCACTACTTTGTGTTTATCTGCATGTATACTTTCTTTTTTCTTTCAAAAGATAACTTGTACTAAAATGAGTGAGTTCTTAGGAAAAAAGGTGCTGGAGATGTTTGTGCCTCCTTGAATTCTGAAAATAGAGAAAACTAATGTAGTTACCTTCAGTCAGAGAAAGAAAGTGTAGACATATATAACCTGTTAGTACTAATAATTACTCTCTCCGTCCTAATTCATATGATGTAGTTTGAATTTTTCTGATGGAGGGTTGAGAGAGCGAATGATCTTACAGCCTTTGACAGTAATCATGTTTTACATAATTTGGATCTTTAATAGGATGTATATAAGCACAGACCCTATATAATAGTGAACATTATTTTTCAGCACTAAGTTGGTTTTTAATTGGAAATTAGACATTTTTACTCACTGTTAGATTGCACTATATGACAACATGTTGAAGTTCAACTCATTTCTTCTGTTGACAGTTATTGTTAACATGTTAAACACAATTGATGTGTTCAAGAAGCACATTGGATGATCAATACACTGCATTGTTGAAGTTTAACTCATTTCTTCAACAAAGCAATCCTGCTTAAATGGAAATAAGGGACTCACCATGCCTACTGCTGCTCCAACAGATTGAAGAATATCACGTCTATGAAAGCGATCTTCATTATTAAGCTCTGATCCAAACTTGCAACAAATCATACCCTGCATTGCTCACAAACAAAAAAAGAAAATAAAAAACAGTCAATACCACTTCGGAGAGAAAAATAAATTCACTTAATACAATGGGGGTTGATTTCTTAGATGACCACTCAATTAATAGTTCTGATCTCAGAAAGTGATCTTTCTTCTTGATTTCAATTTTCTTCAACACAACAACAATAAAAAAATTACTTCCTAAGATAATAACTGTGACCATCTAAGAAATCAACTCGTACAATGGGCAGCATTCAGCCCAACCTCACAACTTCCCAACCATTCCATGACTTGTACTAACCAAAGAACTCATAAATTTACAATCTTTATTATGTTAGTGGCAAGAAAAACAAATGTAAGTGATCATGATAGAATAGCATGCAAGTAAAGATTTTTAAAAAACCCAATAGCATAAATTTTAAGAAAACATGAGTAAAGCTTCAGCATTTTAAAGAAGTAAGAAAATAGACAAAGAAAAGAGAGAGGATTACAGGTTGAGGAGGGTTTCTTGAGGCATTGGTAATGGAAGATGGTGAAGGAATGAATGAAACCAAAGAGGGAAGTGTTGAAGCAAAAGAGACCATTCCTTCTGTGTTGCTATTAATTTCAAGATTCTGTGTGTGCAGCACAGGGGAGAAGAAATTGAAAGATAAAAATGGTTGGAAGAGAGGATAGTGATGAGTGAGTGGGGCCTTCAAAATCTTTAGTTGTGTGTTGAAGACAATTGTGTTATCCTATCCAAACAAATGCCCTTTTGCTGCCTTGCTGGTATTTGGGCTCCATTTCTTTGTGTGTTGTATAAGAACAAGTAAAACATCCTTTTTCACTTTATTTGAAAATCAATGTCATGCCATGAAAATTTTCATTCAACTCAAAGTTAGATTTCAAATTTTTAAAAATAATATCTTCTTTAACTTCATCTCCATAATTTCAAATAAAATACTTTCTTATTTTCTTTGTAAAAATTTTCAAATAAAATAAAAAATATTTAATTTCTATTACCAAACACCTACTAAAATAAAAACTCTGAAAAATATCAATTTATAGCATATGCTTGGACAATTTTATTTTTTTGAACAGCAGCCACCTCATTTCTGGTCTCTCTCAAATTCACTATTGATATCTTCATCTGTCTTTGTTCGTCTTCTCTGAAGGCTTGATCTTCAGGTCAGTATTATATCTCTTTGCTCTATTTACTTTTTTTTGTGTGTGTGTTCGGAGTATTTGATTTAAACCTAGGGTTAGAATCTGGTAATATATGTATTTTCCAATTTGTATTCATAGTAATTGAACCTAACTTCCTATAGCGTTCTTGCGATATATCGAAGGTACAGGGGTTCAATTTAGTTAGTTGTTATCTTGCATTCAATTACTTCACATGGAATGTTTTGAGCTCTATGCATTCAATTTGGTTTCGTTGAACAAAGGAAATCCTAATACAATTTTGTTATTATTTAGTACTAATCCACTACGCCGGACAATTCATGATGAATCCTTGTAATACAGATGTTGCTGTTGTTGCTATATAAACCGTTTGACATTGATCAAGCTCATTTATGTATCATTTGCTATTGATGGTTATATGATTTGATTTGTTGGAGCTGCACCATCCTAAGCAGATTATATTATTAGGTTTTGGTTGTGAGCGTTCTGTTTGGATAAATTATCTGGGATTGATTCTTGATGTAATGACATCAGAAAGTAGTACATTCTACATAGAAATTTATTGCTCAATTTTGTATTTTCATGTGAGTCATATTGGTAAATATCAGTTTCAGAGTGCATACAGATCTTTGTTGTTTCTGGCTACATTTTGATCTTTATACCGTTCTATAGTAGCATAAAGAGGAAACAAAAACGTCTTTCATTTACTACATTTTCTTAGCTAAAAGACTGGAAATTTTACGATATTGTTAATCTTCTTTGCTTCATGATTCACAACTCTAAGCATTAGTTATATGATATAGTTGTTACAAATTACCAACTTCTTACTACATCTGAATGTTTCTCAAAACACTTCTTATTTTGATAAATATTAGATATTGAAGCTTTGCAAGTTGCTCAAAAGAGTTTGGTTACTCTGTGTTTTACCTGGCTGAATTTCATTTGTGATTGGTATATGATTCGGGAAATTTAGGAATCTTATGGCGGATAGGGCTTGAAAGGCACTCAGCTGACTACTTATGTCTGTGTATGCTAAAAAGGGTATTTCAAGTTTGTATCCTCCAGTTTGTGCAACGCCTATGTTTGTTGAACTTGAGTCTGTGGTTGTGGGTAGCCCTAAGACACTTAGAGATTATGAAGAATGAAAAGAAGTGGAGGAGGGACAGGAGGTAGGGTCTACACTCTATTGTTGGGAGTAGAGAGGCCTGACGTCTAAGTGCATATACCTTAAAGATGACTGAACCTAATACTGAAAGTTTTCAAACAATTGCAGCCTCACCTATTCTTCAAAATAAAACTTGCAATTGCTCCATAAGGAGGTGGATAGTTTAATACAAGAGCAGCATACTTATATTGTGGATCTTGGAACAAACAGTCAGGAAGACAAATAAAGCAAGCTGGCACGACCAATTAAAACATGTTGCTTGTGAACTGATATAGTCTTGCATTTCTTTTTCTCCTATAAAAATTATTATTTTACTCCCATAAGAAAAACATATTATACTTCAAATAGTCCGAGAAAAGTGGAGTTGTGGGACAATTGGTGTAGAACCAATGAATGTACATGCTTCGTGTGCTGAGTTCATTACCCCAGTCAGTGGAAATGCAATCTGCTTCATATAAACAGATATATAGATATTCTAATTTGTTAATATTAGTTGCTTCATATTCAATTTGTTGCTGTGGCTTCATATATTGTATTTTGGCCACAAAGTAACACAAAAATTTAAAAGGAAAAATAAAGACTATTGCTTTGATGGTAAACTGGAGTAATATTTATAATAGCTGCACAAATCTAACTACTAGGTCCTATACGTGCAGGGAATACTAGCAAATAGTTAGTTATTTGAGACGGATAGTTGAAATATTGATGACTTCTCATGTGGAATCAGTCAAAACTAAGGTTCAGTCCTTCTTAGCAAGCCATAAGATATTAATAGGTCTAAATCAAAAAGGTAACTACAATGTTAAATGAAGAAACAGCTTAGAGTATTTGCGTACACCTTATAGTTATTCTTATCCAACAATATATCAAAAGATATTAGGATATAAAAGACAAAACCTTCACACTTTTTTCCACTATGTCTAGAGTTGAGAGTGGTATATATGTCAAAGTGATAATTTAGGATATTGATTCGGGATCCAAAATAAGCAAAGAATATTCTGGAGATCCTCTGTAATGAGGAATTGCAAAACAGTTTGAGTCCATGCTGCCTTGGTACACACAAGGCATTCCTTTTTGTTAGAACTACTTTACTTAAGAGATATATCACATAATCAAAAAGGTAATATAGGAACCCTATTTCGAAGGAGTCCTACTGTGAATGCTAGGTAAAAGATTTTGTTAACAATAGCAGGGCCAACTTGGCCGTATACAAGAGTATACCAAAAAAGAGAAACCTCCAATAGGCACCCAATTCTTTATACAAACAGGAATTCATGGGTGCACCCAAAAAAAATTAAGGGATCGGAGAGTACTCAAATGAGCAAAGCTCATCTCCGCCCCTTCAAAAGCTCCCCTATTTCTCTCCCTCCAAATGGCCCACATTAAAACTAGAGGAGTAACATTCTAATCCTTGCGTCTTCTTCTCCTAGCTCACGGATTTTGGCATTACCCAAGTAACACCAAACCATCTTAAGATATCCTCCCATGACCTTGTAGCTAATTTGCAATGTGTGGTCCACATCCTCACTCACCTCCATTTAAAGGAAACAGTAGCTCGTAAATACAACCTTTTGTTTCTTAAGATTCTCTGCTAGCAAAATCGCCCCTCTAGTAGCTAAGCATAGAAGCACACGTTTCTGGGCATCTCAGGAATCCAGGCCGAGGCATGTGGAAAACTAATTCTGCCCTGACCAGAAGCTTCTCATCGAATGACTTAACTGAGAGCCAATTGTTATTCCCAACTCCAACTCCAACTCCCATCATCGGGTCTGTTAATCAGCTGGAAGACCTTCAACGTTACAAGTTAAAAAAAAGTTTCAGTGGGATATTGTGTATTCAGTTGATTGTATACAAAGATATATTATTACAATACATGTTCGTATGCATTTGCTTTCCAGGACTATCTACATAATATGGTTCTTAGTTTTTAGGAGTTCAAGAAATTTGCTACTTCATCAAAAGTGTTTTTTTGGGATCCGATGCGGACACAGATCAGATTTAGATGTGTCACATAATGCATGTTATTCTAGTTTATGTGTTGTTTTCAGCATTCCTATAGATTATTCTAACCAACAGTTAACACATTATTAGCAGCATACAGTTACTTAGCTTTTATTTTCAGATATACTAGATCATATGCACTGTCCTTGTGGAAGTAAAAGTTAATATTCAAACTGTTTCCTCTATTTCTTCAAGTAATGATGTTGCAAAAGTTCTATTTCAATTTACTCTAAATTAGAACTTCAAAATAGTTTTAACTATATCAGTTGGCCATCTGATAATCACCACCTCCTGTTAGCATGTGTACAAGATGAAGCTCTGTGAAAGAGTGAGAAGTTAATCATGTAATTTACTATATTGGTTATTTCAAGTATGCTAATGCAGAGTTGAGTGTATACGTTGTGTGAGAATATTTAAACCAACTTTTTGGCACTCTAAAAGAAATGGTTATGGTGATACAGCAACCACTACCTTTACCATAATAATCAGGTTTTGAGACCTGTGACTTAGTGCCAAAATAGTTCCTTGCTTCCGGTATGATTGCACGGAAGCAGATGAGCCGCACAATCACTTGTTGAGTGCCTCTGCTGGTAAGAGCTGTTGTAATCTGGCTTTTGCTTTTGTGTACTTGAACTTCTAAAACTAATTAAGATTTAGAACACTGTGATACACATGTTTATCTGGCAATATTCATTTTCAAAACAGAAAACTATGATAAAATAGCAATTATCTACATGCTTGATTTTTGTTAATTTATATGGATTTTTCTTAACGAAATCGGTAAGAATATCTCAATCATGCCCCTCAATTGGTAACACTACTTAGTGATTGTTGAGTGCTGGTAATTTTGCTACTTTTATGTCTTTCATTCCCTTGTAATGGACTTCATAGATCTTTTTATTCTTCTTGTTTGTTAGCTTTCTGACTGGATTAATTACTTTTGCAGGAAATTGTGGATACCTTACCATACGACAAAACTGTTGATTTTCTGAGGTTTCTCATAGAACTCTACCAACTCACGGATATCAAGAAACTTGAAAAGCAAAGAGGCATAGAGAAAGCCTTGCTTTGAAGTGTTTAACGTGGATTAAACCCTAAAACTTTGACGTCCTCATTTTTTAAAGATATAAAAAGGGAGATTTCGCACACCGTTCAGAACAATGGCTTCGTTTGGATCTCTTAAGCAGGCTATCTTTGATAGACAAACAAGAAAACAGCAATACCAAGATCACATACGAGGCCTGAATGCTTATGATCGCCACAAGAAATTCCTCAATGATTATGTTAGATTTTATGGAAGAGAGAGATCCACACAAGAAAAGTTACCTGTTAAAACAGATCAGGATACTCTTAAAGAGGGATACCGATTCATACGAACTGAGGAAGATGATATGAATCCATCATGGGAGCAAAGGCTGGTGAAGCGCTACTATGACAAGCTTTTCAAAGAATATTGTATAGCTGATATGACACACTATAAGAGTGGCAAGATTGGTCTGAGATGGAGGACTGAAAAGGAAGTGACATCTGGGAAAGGGCATTTTGTCTGTGGTAACAAACACTGCAATGAGAGAGACGGTCTAGCAAGCTACGAGGTGAATTTTTCATATGTTGAAGCAGAAGAAAACAAACAAGCCCTGGTGAAATTGGTAGCCTGTGAGAGATGTGCAGAAAAGCTTCTTTACAAAAAGAGGAAAGAGAAGGATCAATCTAGAGAGGACCTGAAAGATAAGCATCGAAGGAGAAGGGGAAGATCTGCGAGTGATGATGAACATAAGGATGATTATTACGAACGAAGGAGAAGGGGAAGATCTGTGAGTGATGATGAAAATAAGGATGATAATTACAAACGAAGGAAGAGGGAAAGATCTGTAAGTGATGATGATACTAAAGGTGATAATTACAAACGAAGAAAAGGAAGGAGTAGAGGGTCAAAGGCTCCAACTTCATCTGATAATCAAGATAATGAGAATATGGATGAGTATCTGGAGGGAATGTTTCCTTGAGACAGGAGGCTACTGATGTTTTTGTAGAGATTTTGAAGTCTTCATTAAATTTGTTTAGATTGCAACTAGGTATTTTTGTCTGGACAACGGAGAGGAAAATTGGTAGGAAAAGCACAAGTAATTTCGTATTTTTGAAAGGCTAGACTGGTTAAGAAATACACGAAGGAACCTGGAAACGCTGGAAGTGGGGAGCTCAAGTATTCTATTGAGTCGTCTCTTCCATGTAAAAGCAAGAAGTGTAGCAAGTGATGTTTCTACTTAGTTTTCAACAGTTTTTGTTAATGAGTAGCTCCTCGGAATGTAAATATATGATCCATGTACACTTATGTTGGTTATGCAGTTCACTTCTTTGACTAAATGGATGCTTCATCTCCAATATTGTAGATCAATTTAACGCACAATGGCACAAGTTCATTGAAAACGTGAGCCTGTATAGTTGTGTGATTTTAGTAGGCAGTGAAATTGATGAATTCGTATTGCTTTCCATAGTTTGCTGTTTGTCAAGTACCCACTGGGCTTCATTAGTAATCAGAAAGGATGAAAATGAACTTCACTTTGGTATTTGTGAAAACAGTTATTCGCTTAAATATGCACTGGTATTTAACTGTTTCAATCATGTGTTTCAACTCTTAAGTAACTGTATTTAAGCCAAAAGTAGCAGTCATGCATATTTAAGTGAATAACTATTCACAAATACCAAAGTGAAGTTCATTTTCATTCATTTCAATCATCTGTTTCACTCTTTTAAGTACGTGTATTAAGCCAAAATAGCAGTCATAAATTGCTCAATTCCAAGTACCATGAATGAGTTAAATTGATTAGCTTTCATTTGTTGAGAATGTCAAGAATAAACAGATACACCCAAAAAAGAAGGAAATAAAGAGCTAAAAGTAAATAAGAAAACAGATATGCCCATAATGAGACCCTCCATCTGTACAAGTGTGACATTTTATACTCTTAATTTTGACTTGATCAACCTTCCCCTCATGGAAAGTCTCATCTCAATCAAACTCCTCTCTCTGGAGACACCTATTTTTTCAACCATCTACATCTATAAAGTCACTTGGAACAATCTCTTCTCATTGTATATGTACATTTCGCATGCTAATCAGCTCGTTGCCTGCTCCAGCGTCAATAAAATAAGACTGAAACAGCAGCACTAATGCAATACATGGATCTTGTGTTATCATCTTAACTACCTGATACTTTGAGAATTATTCATGTATGACGATTCCTTTCGACATAAACAGTCTGGTAGAGGATTTACATAGAATGCCTCCTCTGAACGAAACCTATCCGTCCCCTTTGTACCTGAAATTGGCCCTTTCCTCTTTCTTGGAGATCCTTGCCTGCACAATAAAAAATAATCAAATAAAATAGATCAGATACCATTGTATTGGTTCTTGGCAGAAGTTCTCATATCTTCAATCTAATGACCATAAGAAAAATGAGTTTATGCAATGCAGATGGAACAACATACTTGAACCGAGATCCAAGAGGCACTCTAAAATTGTAAAGAGCAAACAATACTCAAAAATTGTAATTTCAGTTTTCATCTCTAAAAATGGCAGCGAAAAAGATATCACTTATTACTGGCCAGGGCCAGGAAAAAACTTCTACATCCAGTTGCAACCCTTTCCCAAACACACAACAAAGAATACATCATCAGACTCCAGAAAGATAGGACAAGAATAATTGCAAGCAGATAACTGTTAGAATTCATAAAGTAATATAACCACTAAATCGGCAGGACCATCATCAGCACCTTGATTATATTTCACAAACAGAAAATATATCTACATTTGACATACCGCCTCCTGTGGGTTTCAATAATGCGATTGGACAGATTTTTCCCTTCTTTCATCGTACCCTGGTCAATCTTGTCAAAAAGCCGGACAAGTGTTCTCCTGGTGATTACAAGGAAAGTATTAGCAGGAGATGTTATAATCCTCCAAGCAGACTAAATACTAAGTGGGAACTAAAAGATACTGAATATAGCATGTGTACAAAGGAGGTCTTGCCTATCAGGAGATATTGTTTTCCTATGCCCCAGAAATCGACGATGCCCCTCAACTGCTCTTGCCATATTTCCTGAGTACGTAGGAATGAATATGTCACTCTCAACAGACACGATATAGTCTAGGGCAGCCAATTGAGATGCATGATTGACAAATGGCTCAAGCTCCTCAATAGAAGCCAACTTTTCCTGCAAGAAAGATGCAAATCACTCTTTAATAAGCAGAGACTATCACATAGTTCAGAAGTACTTTGTATTGCGATTATATGGCTTCGATGGAAATCTGCTTCATACATACGGGATCGAGAACAGAAGGAACACGCCTTGGCAGATTGAAATCACGAAATTGATATTCAATTAAACTTCAAAAGCGAAAAAAGATGAATAAACAATTGGTTCATGCCAATATTGATGCTGCAGATTCAGCACCTGAACTGACTAACCAAACAAGTTCTCTTTGGGATCTCAAAAAGCATCAAACAAGAAGATGGACTCCCTGACTGAAAAACAATGAATTTAATTTGGTCCGGATAGCTGAAGTTTTTTAGAGACTTTGCTCATCTCAATGGGGACACCACAATTGCCATTTCAAATATTGACAGAGCTTGAAATGGATATCCAAGTGACCCCGATTTCTTTATGACAGATGACAGTTAAAATTTTACGAAACTTTCAAAAGATCCAAAATAAATCCTATTATCTTTTCCCTGTTCTATTCGATTCACTTGCTGATGAGCACAAATTGTTTTTGCATAACACAAAAACAAAGATCCACACATACTGATACTGCTATAAAGAATGACTATATCAACATATAGCAAAACTTGTGGATGCTTTTATTCTAATTCACTCTAAGGAAATGTTCAGATTATTATGCTGACTGGACCAACTTAAGTTGTACTAGCTATGTTTTTCAAATGCATATACAGACATTGAGGCCAAGAATTGAGCACATCGAGTTTTTGAATTAGTTTCATGTGATCCCCCCACTAGTCTACGTGGAACTATTTTATCTTTTATTTTAGTTTAATTTGAATGTAGATAACTCTAGAGTTGTGTACTAAATGGACTTGACTCAATGCACTTACGTTAAGTCTTGGTTATTGTTTTCATCATCATGTTTAGGTTGTTGAGACACTATTGCTTGTTTAAACATATTAAGTATTGCCTTGAGATTGATGAACGAGTTCATCAGGTTCTGGGTCATGTGCCCAATTTTGGGTTTTTTTTTATCAATTCGGGTGGTGATATGATGTGTTTGATAGCACCCACAATAAAATTATTTCAAACGTGTTGAACTATCTACAGGCTCATTTCAAATTCTTCAATTTTGAAATTGTGGGCATGGACATTCATAAAATCCACTAGAAGTTACATAGACAATCATGTGAGGTATCTAACTAACAAAAATCATCCAAGACATTTTAAGCAACAATGCAAGGAAGGTTTGCATACCTTATTCATTAACAAGGGGTAGCGCAACAACAGATCAGACATATGGGAATCACCCCCATATATCTCTCCAGCAGCAATATATATAGGAGTGTTTGATGGAAATCCAAGACCGGAAAGGAATAGTCCAACTTCTCTTGGAGTTAATGGACAATAGCCTTTACTTCTCTGTTCTACAGGATCAATTTCTTTCACCTTCCACCATTTAGTGTTTTCCCTACAAATGGTCAAGATAATGAAAAGACCATCATCAGATTACAAATTCAAACAATCTAGTCAATGGCATGCTACTAATTCAAATAAAAGTATGGAGAAGACATTTCTAAAAGCTTGGTGGATGTGACAGGGGAAGGGCTCCAATTCAGGCCAATCACTACACATGGAAACAAACAAGCACCAACATCATAGATTTCTTTTTAGAAGAAATGTACCAATCAGTATTGCATCCAGAGATCCTTTTCTTCGTGAATGTTCCTTTTTCTTTTAACAAACTTATTAAAATTGGTGATTTTAAAGTTCGTAAACTATACAATTGAACCCCACAGGAACCAAAATAGGAGACCAGTGAGCTAGGCATTTCACACGTGTCTAATAATCAAGCAAAATGAAAGCATATGGTTGATGTTCAATCTGTTAAAAAGTGTTCTTGCTTCTTAGCAGACAAACTTTTGTTTGAAGAGGTCAGATATTACCCAACAATTAATCACAAGCACATGCTCTGGCTATCAAATAACTATACGTCATAACAATCTACCTAATTGCCTTCAGTTCCTCAGCTTCCTCTGGGGATAGATCATGTGTGCATCCACTAAAAGCAAGCATGTCCTTTTCAAATCGCAAATGTAAAGCAATATAGGGGCCATATGATCTCATCCGATCAACCAACATCTGTACATAGAAGTTGAATCAATGAAATAGATCAGGCAAAGTAACACTTGAAAATGATTTTGAACTAAGCATCAATAAGTGGTGACCTTTCCCATTGCTTCAATCTTCGGAGCAAATCGAAGGGCTTCATAACAAGCTCGACAACGCAGCTTCTGAATATCAGGAGGCAGGTTATTATTCGCCAATCTTGAATCAGACTTGGCGGCTCGAATGATCTAAAGAGATTAGATGGCATAAATTAATTACAAATGGACATTATTGCTTGCTTGGTACACAGATTAGTTTTATGTACCTGGTATTCATCCCACAGTCGTGCAATCTCTTCCTCATAGTAATCCACACCAGACCAACTCCTAAAATTTTTGACTGCTTTAGTTGCAGATGCCAGTTCCTTCGGTAGCTTTTTGACAACATTTACATCATTTTTCAAAGAAATAATAAAATGGTCTTCATCAAAGACATCGGAGAAGTTGCTGCAATTCAGGCATAGAAGAGTAAATTTTACCAGTTTATGCAGCAAGTATAATACACTCAATCCTTAAGGATGAAAAGGATGTTAATCCCCTTGCAACTAACAGTTCAAAATGAGCATGAAACCACAAAAAGAAATTGCTCACTAAAGGAAATTACGCACCTAGAGTCCTGCCAAAATGAGCGCTTATCAAGCTCAGGGATCACAAGGGTAGCATTTATGATACGAGCAACAGCAACCATGTCACATATCTGCAACATAACAATCTTTTCCTTCAACAGAAAGCCACCAAACAATGACAAGTAAATGCTTTATGCATACATTGTGTGAACTATACACAGATGACATAGTTTTCATGAATCAACAATTAAAAAAAATATTCATTTAGGACCAATCACCTTATAAAAAAATGAACTAACATGTATACTGGTTTAGGGGAGATGAATTCTCTTCTAGATCATTTGAAATGTAAACCAAATGCTAGAAATAAGGGACATAAGACATATCCATTGAAGAAACTCATACTGAGTTAGAGTATGAGTAATTAAAGATGCATATTT